GGGGGGGGGGGGGGGGGGGGGGGTGCTCCATGGTAAGCGTTTCTCATCAAGAAATTTGCCTTTTTCCGGCCTATCCAATGAGTCGACGGAATCCCAACCTCGCAGGTGAGGTATTCGAAGTTCATGGTAGCGTGCAAGGGTTACGCAGGCGATCGGTGAAGGTCGAGAGAACGGGGGACGCCGTGTGGGAGGCCATCGAGTGAAACGGTGGCGCTCGACATTGTGCGCGCTAAACCCTTAGTCGACGATCTAGCTAGAGGCGTCCGCGCCCCGCCCGCAACACGTTCTCGGTGCCAGAACGCTGGGGCACTACCGTTCGACGGTGTCACCTTCGTTGGGCGGAACCCCTCCGGCTTGCCGCCGTAACGCTACCGGGGGTACAGGAGTTCCTTCCCCGCACGCCTGGCGGAGGTGGTCTTTGGGGGGAAGGGCTTGGAGCTCCGGACCTGGCCGCACCCACCCCTTGCGTGCCTGCCGCGGCTTTTCCTTGAAAAATGTTCTGTTGAGTTCGGCCACGCGTTAAAACAAAGTTTTGAGTCGGTGCAGCAACGTACATGCCTACTCATGACAACTATCGACCTAGGAGAGCATATGAAGTGGCCAAGAGCACCCAATTGCTTGAGGCACTGGGGGGGTTAGGGTCCTGGCTCCCAAACATTTGAGCTTGCGGTGCCCAAGGGTAGCAGAGAGGGCCCGTCACCGTCATCGGCTAACGTATAACCGTTGACGCATCCGCCATATGTAGTTGTTGACACATCGAATATGTATTGTTCGTGGGGAGACCGAAGTACGCTAGGCTCAATACATTGCTGTCAAGCGATGAGTCAGCATGAGCACCACACGAATGTGGTATGCAAGGTGAATGTGGTATGCAAGGTGATTCCACGCCTACCTCGGCGGGGTTTTCTTCGGCGGCTACGGCAACGAACCCTGCCGGCTTCTCCCAAAGGCTTTCGTTCGTTCTTGTGTTGACGTAGTACACGACATTTTCCTGCAACACAATAGAATGGGCAGAGTTGCGCTTGAGCTACTGCTGTGCGCGTGATGGTGTAACCCAGTGCTAAAGCATCATATTTTGCGGAAGAGCTTAGACCATCGATGTATATGGATGGAAGTGGATGGAAACTGTTTCAACGCTAAACGTCATCTGCTGCAGCGCTGCCACCTGGGAAACGTTTACGTATACATACGAGCGAAAACAAAATAGTAACTACCCGTTCGAGGTACAACCGGTGCGAAGGGGTGTGTTGGGTCCCCTGGTCGCCTCTTGATAGCCTCGCTGTCACTTATCCAAGCAACTAAGATTCTGCGGATTCTGTTGTAACCTCTTGATCAAAATCCTGAGGATATCACTCACATAATGAAACGTGCGGGAACCCAGAGCGCGGTCAAACTACAGCACAACTGGAGCACCTTCGTGTCTATGTAGTCCATCCAGACGGGAGGGTGCCACTGGGAAGTCTGCGATTCCGAAGAGAAGTAGTAGCTGACTCCGCTCCCGGGCTCCTTGATCTCTTCCCATACCGTCTGTTTCCCCCTCGCATCGCCCCGGCCGCGTGGGAAGAAAAAGGCATTCAGATCGCAAGCAAGAAGGGAAGAGTAAACAACAAAATGACAATTCGTTAGCGTATTGGTACAATTGGTGTCATCCACGACGGCGACGATAGTGGCGGTACTCCGTCCCTGACGCAAGTCTCTCAAAACCCCTCTGTTCAGGTCTGGAGGAAAAATACTCGTTGTTCTTCGGTTTCCTCGTCCAGGAGGGCTCAGCACCTCTCGAAAGAGTGTGATGCATGGGAGTGACACGAACACACAGTGGTGTTAATGTTGAGGTTGGTGTCGGTGTTGTGGGTTGGGACGATGATGGTGTCGTGATGCATGTCGGGCAATAGGAGAATGTGGGCTGCGCGCTCGTCCATTCGAGAACTCCACTTCTGGCCCCAAGGCAAAGTCACCGGGTATCGTGTGATCCTCCTGCCCCGTAAGCTTAGTGGACCCGTTCGTCGAGTTGCATGCCGCATTTCACGACATACCAACCCCATCGCGCGTACTTCACACTGCCCTGTCAAGCCGGGCGGAACCATCGATAATATTTCTCCCGCCCAACGAGCTTACCTGTCTGTTAGACGTTGCAGCAGCACTGCCGGCTTCACCAACAACCCTGCCACCACTTTCTTTCGTCGGTCCGGGACCCGCGCCTTTGTCGCGATCCCGCCCTCCTCCCCCTCCAACGGCCGCCTGGTATTGCTGCTCTGCCTTCCACCTCGTCTCTCCGGTTGTAGCGTGCTCCAGGAAGATGTGTCCGCTGGCGGGATCCGTCGCCTCCATCCAGGCCTTCTCACCAGCAAGCCACACCGGCACCACCGTAACAAGAACCCGGAAGCGAAACATTGAACGGCGACGAGGCAGCAACCGATGGGACATCTCACGAAGTTGGGTTGTTTGTGGCTCGTCGACATGAAAAGAAAAAGGAATACCGCGCAACTTTGGACCACTGGAACAAGTACTTTTTGCTTGCATACACCTCGGAATATGGGAAGAAGCGAAACGTCAGAAGGACGAAGGGTGGCACATGGCCCGGCTTTCGCATCCGGCACGTGGCCTCGACGAGGATGCTGGGTCTGCTGCCTTCTGAAATCTACATCGATCGTATCACTACACCATCAATGACAATCAGTACGTACCGGGTCCTCGGCATTTGCCCATCGGCTCTCTTTCGTGTGGACATGCTTGTAGTAGGTGGCGGCTTGCTTGTAGTCCCTGCGAATATGCAATGAGAAAGAAACACTCAACTAACCGAGGAGGAGCTCACATGCCTCTACATAAGAGGCATATTTAGTGTGCACGGCCTTGAAAGTCCAGCGAGTTGGTAATAGCACAGCAGCCGACACACCTATCTTCTCTGTTCCATTGCTGTAGGCTAGAGGCGTCGAGCACGCTGATTTAGCTGGCAGAGGAGAGGCGGCGATAAAATGGTTCGCCGTCATGCTCTCTTCAAACTCGAGGAACAGTGACGGGGAGAGTGGCATGTTGCTACAGTAGGGGTGCTCGCCTTTTCATGGGGAAGATGTCGACGAATGAATCTATGCCATGCAGACTATTCTAACCGGGATGGGTACAGGCTGTGGCACTTGACTACAAATGAATTATCCTCTAGCTACAGCAGTGTTTGTAGAACGTACCAGCATTTTTTCCAGTCGGATTTAGGCTTTGATGCCGTCTTTCCTCGACCTCCCACTCCTCCTCCTCCTCCTCCTCCTCCCAAGGTTGACGAGCCTCCGCATCCTGCGCCCATCGAGTGCCCAGGGTCGCTGATGACAAAAAATCCAAAGACAGAACATACACGCAGGAAAGCCATTTTGCTGAGTAGACCATCATCCTCAACACAATAAGCGCACGACTGGCTCATGAGGAGATCAGACGTCCGGGTGCCGTATTGTGCTGCCTTGAAAAATGACTTTGACACTTTTTTCTGGTTTTCTGCATGGATGGGCCCTTCTGCCTGCCCGAGTTCAGGCAATGAATGAAAATCGTGTTTTCCCCTCTGCCCACAACTAACATGTGGAAGGGTAAGGTCGGACATGTATCGCCATATGGACGGTACACCGAGCTATCGGGCACCTGCAGAAGAAGCGTTCAGACACGATGAATTGCTGCAAAGCTGCGATACGCAAATAACCGTTGGGTACGCGGGTGCGCCGGAGATGCTGTCCATGTTGTAGCCTAGTGGGTATGAAGTGATCCACGCGATTTAGCAGACGTGTCACAGAGTGGAAAAAATGTGTTACAGCAGTGACCTGTGATCCGACATGTGAGTCTTTCAACACTGTCTGGTCCAGCGTTCCATTTAAGCCGCAGGCGTGAAGTGCGCCAACCGCAGTTTGCCGCAACAAGACGCCGCCGGAAAAATTTTGGCGGTATTCGACGTAATACTTGCAGAAAGTTATTCAAAAACAGATCAAATTTGTTTATATATATATGTGGGAGAGTATTTATTACCTCACGATATTCAAAGCAGTGTTGTTGCAGAAAATCATTCAAAATCAACTCATTCAGTGTCGACTGCTGGGACGAGGGACGAGGAGGATGTTTTATTGTGTTTGTTCTTGGTTTGTTTGCACTTAATTAAAATCTTAGAATGACATGGGGACATGAGCAGGACAAGAGACATTACACACCAAAAACACAAACAACAAAATTACACGTGAGGAAACACGACGCACCAACAACCAACAACCAAATATTTCCGTTGCTACCGCAGTAGAACAAGCCGTCGACAGAGTACGGGCTGCAATCTGGCGCGTCACATCCAAGACATTGTCTGCGCTGGCTGCAGCCATCTTCTAACAACGCGATAGGACTCTCTTCTGTTCCTTGAGAGGTTGACATGCTGTAGCGTGTCCGCGCGGACCGCTGTCTGCTGCGTAGTAGTAGCTAGCTGCGTTCGCAGCTTGTTTGTGTGCCCAACAGCCGCGTTCAATTGCCCATTCAACATGGATGGGCAAGTACACCCACCCCCCTCCCTTGAGTATTTTCTGTTTTTTTGTTTTTTTCTGTTTTCTGTGCTCTCTTGTCTCCTCTCGTGCCAACATTTTTGCCGTGTTTGAACCCATTTCTGAAAACGTCTCGCTTCTAAACGTTCCTTCGTATCAAAAACTAAAGGGTCCAAACAATTTTTCTCGCCTCACAGCGAGAAGGCGAAAAATAAGGGACCAAAAAATTTTTCTCGCCTCAGACCCATGTTTATGGTCGCCAAATCTTTGCGAAAATGTTTATATTTTCAAACATTTGCGGACAAAGATTTTGTTTCACTGTTTATGGGAGAAAATCTTCGGCAAAATATTCTCAAACATTTTGAAATGGGGTAAAAGTCGCTCGTTTGACAAAATATTCTCAAACATTTTGAAATGGGGCAGGTCGCGAAAATGTTTCCCAAGAGCGGCGAGATTAGTAGCCGACCGCCCCTTCCGTCCTAAACACCAACCACTGCGCAGCGCACACTCAACGTAGCAAGCTCATAGAGGGATCCGGGCAACCCTAGAGTCACCGTGTCAATGTTTTGCCGGCTGATACATGGCGGGAGCTCGTCAAGCGTGCACAAAAAAACAAACAGACAGGGGTGGTTTGGAGGGCACGGAGAAAGCGTGGTTTGTGTCTCCGAACGGCAAAAAGTCGGCTGCTTGAGAGGAGAGGTGAGCACAAAACTATCCAGCTCTCGTCCTCTAGACCATCGATTCATGTTTTGTTTTCTTGGGTGTCTTCTCCATCAACGTCTCTCATCCGGGTGTGCGTGGTTCAGCAGTGGACGTACTCAACAGGCAGGGAGGCGCGTCGCTGGGAACTCGATGTGTTGAAACAGTCTTTTTTGGGACGGAGGAACAAGCGCTCTATATTCAAGTGAAAAAATAGACCGAAAAAAACGTTGTGTCCACAACTTTGCGCGCACAACGATGTGCCTCCCTGCCGGCTGAGCGCGGCCACTGCCAACCCACGCACAACCGGATGAGAGTCGTTGATGGAGAAGACACCCAAGAAGACAAAACATGAATCGATGGTCTAGAGGACGAGAGCTGGATAGTTTTGTACTCCATGTCCTCTCAAGCGGCCGACTTTTTGCCGTTGGGAAGCGCTGACGCACGTTTTGGTCTCTTTTTGACACCGAGAACATTTTTTCTCGCACGCCCGGAGCGCTATCGCCACATATTGGCGGGCACAGCATCAGCTCAGTGCATCAAGGGTTGTGGGGAGCCCTTTGCGAGCTCGTTACATTCAGTTTCCATGACGCATTTGTGGTTTGTCTGTCACAAATCGTTTGGTAGCAGTAGACCACGATTCCCGCCGCACGTGCGATGCATTTCGAGAAAACCACACGATAAAGATTTTTTTGCCCATAAAAACGGTACTCAAATGTTCCTCTGGCAGATATTCGCGCTCAAATGTTTGACAACTTTTGAAGATTTTTTTCAAAGATTTGGCGACCATAAACATGGGTCTGACGGCGAGAAAAAAGGACCCCAAAAAAATTTCTCGCCTCACGGCGAGACATCAAGTGCAGCACATTTTTTTCGCCTACGGCGAAAATATGTGCGCTCTCTAACTCTCTTGTTGCGGAAAGCCGCAACAGAGACCCCGTGCCGTGTTGCGGATTTACCATTTCGCGGCGGAAATAGTGCGATTCCGCAACGCCGCAACAGCTAAATGGAACGCTGGTCTGGTCCTCGGAGCAAGGCAATCGATCAACGCTGTGTGCCTTGCCGCTAGTACATCGCCACGTTGCCCCCAAATCTCATCACTTTCTTCTTTTCACGCACCTAGCTGTCGCTGTCGAACACAAGCACTTATACCGTACACCCTATGGAAGTAGTCGGTGGCTCATTACTGTGCAGCTGTGCAGTGTACGGCCAGGCAAGAGCAACCAAACCACCAACAGCTCGATACCTTTTCCCCTCCGGAGTGCGGTGTCCAACACCCATTGCTCGTGGTGTTGAGCTGCTGCCGCCCGCCGTGGATGCGTTTGCCGACGGTGGTGACGGAGGTGTTGCACGCCCGGCCAGCATGTTTGGATGCGGCGGTAAGCTCATGGGCTCTGGAATTGCTTGCCCAGTACGAGGCCGTGTTCCTACGTCACATGTACATCTGTGTTATACATCGCTGCTATGCGGCTGAAAAGGTGCCGGTTCGGGAGACAATGCGGCGTAATTCGCCAATCCCGCAATCCCTTCGACTGTAGGTATATATCTGCATTCCGGTCGCCCCGGTGGTCTAGTTGGTAGCCTCGTAACCTTCTAGAGGTCAGGTCAGGGGTTCGAATCCCGGCGTAGGCGAGATTTTCTTGCAAAGTGAGTTTTTCTCTCGCTTCCGCTCCTGGCCAAGTGGATAGCGCTAGTTCGTGTGTACACAGAGGGAAGAGAGTACTGAACTCTTCTCGCATTAAAAATTGAAGGCGAAGTACCGCAAGAGGGGAGGGTAGAGAGAGGCTCTTCTGTGTGACCACGGGTTGGAATGAACGGCACTAGTGCTGTGAGCGCTGATTTGAAGTGAAGAACAAAAGTAAATAAATATATATATATATATCTCGAATGGGTAGTCTTTCTGTGTGTGTTTTTATTATTCCTTAATCCCGCAATCCCGTTGCATTGTAGGCTACTGAACGCTCCAGCTGTCACGCCGAATCGGATTCAAAATAAGCCCATATATATCCAGAGGGTTTTCTCCCCCACTCACTGCAAAGACTTTCAACACAACCCCGACTGCTGTGGTATTATTATCTCGAACGGGCGTCTTTCAGTGGTGTATGCATAGACTACTGTTGTACAGCAAGTGATTTCCTCAAGAAATGAAAGTGTAATTTTTATACTCCACACACCACGTGATTTGCTACACGACGTGTGGTAGACACCAGTCGAGAAAACATCGACGTCGCGTAAAAGCTACAGAAATTCATTACGGAGTAGTCATTTGGCAGACCCATGAAAACGCCTTTGAAGTCGGGTTGTTTCGCTCTCTGTGTGTTCAGTGCTCCTGGCACGGCACCAGCAATAATAATAATTGCAGCACCAGGAGGTCACATAGGCGACACACATACATTCGTTTGTTGTTCTCGTCGCCGTGGCTAATAGCCTCTATCCAGTAGCTACTGTTCAACGTCCAGCCTCATCGCCCTAGTTCTCAATTTTCAACGGAAGAGGCCACACGTAAACATCCATCCATCCGTTGTCCCAAGCTCTCTTGAAGCGAGAATAGAAGAATAAGACAGACGGACGTGTAACCAACTCTGCATCGACAATCGACAGGGAAACGCAGAGTATGCCCCAAGATATGTGAATATTCTGAACCAGGCCAGAATGCGTGGTATGGCTGCTGGGCTTCGAGAGGCTGACCAAGCAGAAACGCTGACAAAATTGATAGTAGTAGCGAAAATAATACGGCAGTAGTTACTACATAGATACGAAGTTGGGGTTCACGATGTGAGGGCCCCACGTCCGGTATGTAATAGATTATAGATCTGTATTTCCTCGGCGTAAGACCACGGGTTGGAGTAAACGGCACTACAGTAGTGCTGTGAGCGCTGATTTGAAGTGAAGACAAAAACAAAAAACTCTCAAATCCGTGTGGTATGTCCGAAGTTCGTTCTTCCTGTAAAAAAAAGTTTGAAAACAATCTCTTGTGGAAATAAATGTCCGGCGTCCGATCGCCATACGTTCGTTCGTTGCGTGCAAGGCGGACAGGACACAGGGCGGGTTCGGAAAAGTTGCCAGCACAAAGAAGAACTGGAAATGCACCACGATATGTATG